GCGAGAAATTAAAACATTAGCTGATGATCTTGCCACAATCAATTGCCCTGTGCCTCAGCGTGAAATTTTAAAAACTACTATTATGGGTCTAGGACCTGAGTATGAATCTTTATACACTGCTGTGTCCTTATTTGGACAAAATTTCCCGTTTGAGACTCTCCGTAATCATCTTCTTGAGTTAGAGCAGCGGGTCCTTTATCTCCGCTCCCAGGAGTCCCAGTCCCTTCATCAGGCATTTGGCGCGGCTGTTTCATATCCCAGGCAGTCGTCTGGGCAGCAGCCAACCCAGCAGAATTCAGGATCCACTCACCCGGTCGGGCAGCAGACTTACCCGGTCGGGCAGGCTCGGCAGAACAGCGCTCCGCAGCGCGGCCGAGGACGTGGGCGCGGCAGAGGCCGCGGAGGCAGGGGGCGTGGCCGAGGACAGCAGCAGCAGGCATATTGGTTCCCCCAGGGGCATCCAGTTTATTACCCCGGAGGGGGTGGGCAGCCGAGTAATCCTGCAGGGGGTGTGATATCTACGGGTACTGTTATTTGTAATTCTGCTGTGTCACGTTTAAATATTAATGCTTTACCTATCTGTGTTACTAACAGTAGTCATACAGGCTTGCCATCAGACGGGGGTATTCTCGGATCTGTTCCCCATCCTGTTCTCTGTCAAATTTGTTTTTCTGCAGGTCATTCTGCCATTAACTGTCCTTCTCGTTTCACACAACCGACGTCTCCTGCTCTGTTGACTACTCCCGGTGACACTACTCCTGCTCTATGGTTTCCTGATTCAGGAGCTTCTGCTCATATGACTGCATCTGAAGGTAATTTAGTTAATAAATCTCCCTACACCGGCTATAATTCTGTTAGTGTTGCCAATGGTGCCCATCTTCCCATATGTAATATTGGTGATGTTGCTTTACCTACATCTTGTCGTCCTCTCACGTTAAAATCTGTTTATCATGTGCCTCAGTTAAAATATAATTTAATTTCCATTAAAAGGCTCTGTGCTGATAATAATTGTACTGTAATTTTTGATAAAAATTCTTTCTTGATTAAGGACAAAGCAACGGGGGCAATACTTCTCCGAGCTACTAGTAGTGGACCACTTTATCCTCTCCATCTGCCGTCAGCATCACCATTAGTTTTTGCTTCCGTTTTAGCTTCTGGCCCTGTGTGGCACCGTAGATTAGGTCACTGTGGTGATAGTACTTTACAGTTTCTTAAGAGAAAACAATTTTTATGTAGTCATACTCCCTTTACTCATGAGTGTGTGGCTTGTCGTTTAGGAAAATCACAACGTTTACCTTTCATGGATGCTAGTCATAATTTTATTTTTCCTTTGGAAATTATTCATTCTGATGTGTGGCAGTCACCTGTGTATTCAAATTTGGGATTCAAGTATTATGTATGTTTCATTGATGATTTTTCTCGTTATACTTGGATATATCCCATGTGTCACAAAAATGAAGTTTTCATGCACTTTAAAAATTTTAAAGCTTTGGTTGAAAATCTTTTTAATCAGAAAATTAAAATTTTTCAAAGTGATGGGGGAGGTGAATTTGTTAATAATAATATGCAGCAATTTTTTTCTGCTAATGGCATTTATTTTAGAAAATCTTGTCCTGACACACCTCAACAGAATGGGGTTGCTGAGCGCAAGCATCGTCATTTACTTGAGTTAACTAGGACCATGCTTCTTGAAGCTTCGGTTCCGAGTCACTATTGGGTCGATGCCATATTTACTGCTGCATATATTATTAATAGATTACCCTCTCCTACCTTAAATGGTCTTACTCCGTATCAAAAACTTTTTAACCGAGTTCCAGATTACTCCTTTATGCGAGTATTTGGTTCTGCCTGTTATCCAAATTTTAATGCCACCTCAGCCAATAAATTATCACCTCGTTCAGTTCAGTGTGTTTTCCTTGGCTATGCATCCGGTTATAAAGGCTATCGTTGTTTGGATCCTTTCACAGGTCGAGTCTATGTTAGCCGTCATGTTAGGTTTCATGAGGACACATATCCTTTTAAAACTCTCTCGTCTGCTCCATCCAGGTCTATTTCTACTACACCATCTCCTATGCATCTCACCGATATCACTCTTGACCCACATCTCTAGCCTGTTCCCACAATTACGGCCGCACCAGCACCACCCCCATCATCGCCACCTCGGACACCAAGTATTCCTATCACTCCATGTGTACCATCGCCCCATTCCTCCTATCCCACGTCCACAACCAGCCCCCCACCATCACATCTCTCCTCCCATACTTCGTCTAGCATGCCACAGACAACATCAACCGACACTGTCTCACCTGAAACCACCTCACCTACGTCCACTACGGTAGTTAATCACCATCCCATGCAAACCCGTGCTAAGTCAGGAATTTTTAAGCCTAAAACCATTTTTAATTTAAGTACAGTTACTATCAATGCAGATCCTACCTGTTTTACTGAGGCAAATAAACAATTAAAATGGCGTGAGGCGATGGCTGATGAATTTAATGCACTCATTAATAATAATATGTGGGACTTGGTGCCCTTTGATAACCCTAAAAATATTGTTGGTTGTAAGTGGATTTATAAAACTAAATATCATTCTGATGGATCCTTAGAGCGCCATAAAGCTCGATTAGTTGCACAGGGTTTTAATCAGCAGACAGATATTGATTTCTCTGAAACTTTTAGTCCTGTCGTTAAACCCACCACTGTTCGTATTGTACTTACTCTAGCTATTTCTTTTGGGTGGGGTATACGACAACTTGATGTTAAAAATGCCTTCTTACATGGGAATCTGACAGAAGAAGTTTATATGCGGCAGCCCCGTGGTTTTATTCACCCTCACTTTCCTAATCATATATGTCGTCTGCGCAAGGCCATTTATGGCCTTAAGCAAGCTCCACGAGCAAAGGCCATTTTCGACCAATATATCCTACTGGCTCAGGAGCAAAGGAATATTTTTTGAGGTCTCAAGAACCTCCTCCGATGCACCAAGCCTTCACCGCTGCTGGTTCCAGCGCTTCGTCCTCTTCTGGCCGCGGCGTTTTCAGTATTCGTGGAGGAGGGCCGGCCCGTGGGTCTGGGGGCCGTGGCTACATAACCTACATTGGCAGCAGGCCACGCGGACACCAGGGCAGGGGTCGTGGTCAGTATCGATCAGTAGCCTGTCGAACCACATTATGGGGGATCTGCCTAATGGTCCCAACTTCGGTCAATCTCCTCACTTGCAGTAGTCGCGTGGGACACAAATAGGGCAGCCGGATCTAGTATCTAGTAATTTCAGTTTTGATTATTTTATTATAAATTATTTGCCTGTTGTGGTACTTATAATGTAAATGCAGGTTTTTCATATGTAGACCATACATATATAAGTCTCCTCCACCTCCCGTGGTTTGTCAACTTTGCTTTCCCTTTTAATAATGAAAGAATGACACAAATATTACTCTCACACTTTGGATGGACAAAAATATGACCATAGTAAAATGAGACAAAAAAGTGATTAAATTAAAAAATGAGCATTCAAAATAACAGCTTCGAATCAATTGATCTTTGTCAAACTAACATCCTTGAACCCATTCAAAATAACAGGCTGTAACCCATTTGTCCGTTTCACCATTCCTCAAAATTCATTGACCTCCACAGCCAAGGCTTCAACGCCGCCCAATCCAAGCCACCACCGCCTCTGACCCCGAGACTCCATCGTCGTCCAATCCACATTGCTGCCGCCCTAACTTTGTTGTCAGCCTTCCACAGCGCCGTTCACTACTTCATCACAGCCAATTCCCCACACCGTTGTTGTATTCGTCACTGCGAAGCCGCGCTGCCGCCACCGTCTTCGTTGCAACCAACCCACACCATCTCATCTAGGATTGTACTCTTCTTCTTCACCTTTCTTTAGATGAAGACGTTGGCGACGACTGGCAGAACAGAACGGGACAGTTCGGGACATCCCAAAAAAATTGCAGCAAAAAAAAAAATAGCTCCAAAATAAACTTCATGACAAAAAACTACAACACTCAAAACGCAACATATAATTTTTTTTAAGATGAATGCAACACAAAAAATAGTAGATTAATAGGATAGTTGCACGAAACAAATTGTAACAACAATAATAACTCCAACACAAACAATACTACTAAGAAACTGCAAAGATAAAAAAGACAAACAATATTATTAGAAGTGAAACATGTGGAGTATACGTGAGTTTCCTTTTAGTATGTAGAAGATAGTTCATATACTTGATAGTTTAGTCTCCTTTAGGTGTTTTACATATTAGATAACTAATATCTAATTAATATTCATCAGTATTTGAATTGATGATAGACTCACTAACCCACAACTATATACAATTTTGAATTCGGGACAACGGGACGGAACGAGACATATTTTATTTGTCTCGGTCCCGTTTTGTTTTGAAACGGTTCGGGATCGGAACGGGACAACAATAATTTCTCCCGAATTAAACGAGACAATTTCGGAACGGAACCGGAACATTCCGGAACGGACCAACGGGACTGGGTCTTTTGTCCACCCCTATCCAAAACTCTAGATATTTCCCCGCAAATTGGCATCCCATGTTTACGTTTCCCATATTTTGGTAAAAGACCCCAAAAAACATAAGATGGAAATAAGATGTTCCGTTAGAAGAAGAAACCCCTAAGCTTCTGATTGCTTCAAATCATTCCTTTTCAAATCCAAACATAGGTTTGCTGCTAAGTCAATAAGTAAGTTGAAAAATTTAAGGATGAAGCCAGGCTTTATTCTGCCTTCATCAAACCTAGCTTGTGGGTTAAATATAGTCAACATTAAATTAAATTCTTCGTTTAAGAATATATAAAGGCGAGCACAAAATAAAATTAAGGAATGTCTATTTCCCAAGAAAAGCTGATTAAAATGCATTATTCATTTGGAGAATGTTTGTACGAGTGGGTCTATTTTATTCTTTTCCTTGGGTATAATAAGAACCTAAAGTCGCAGGTAATTAACATTTATTTATTTCCTTCCCAAAGCAAGTTCTAGTTCTATTCAAAGGACAGCTCTGATCTAGCTACACAAACCAAGAAATTAAACGAAAGATCAACTTAAGGTATGGGTTCAAATGAGCAGAAAGTGTTAGACTTGAAGAAACAGTTTGAAGATTGTGTAGAAAGTCATACATCAGTAGAGGAAAATGGCCAGCACATTATTCAGTTTCCTCTACCACAAGGTACCGTACTATCTATCATCTTCTCCTTCAATTCCATAGTCATATTTTCCAAAGATAATATATATGTCGTTCTTAACTCCCTTTGCGTGAAAATAGAAACAAGTTTGTACACTTCACGGCTTGACACATTGGCCTAGCTTGTTTGGGGGTCCGCTAGCCGTTCGGGTTATGATAGCGGTTTAGTAATGGCTGGTTGTGTTAGCTATTTTGGTTGACCGATTAAGTTAGCTTGTTGTCAGTAATTGTTTGGTAAACTGACTGTTTAAAAATAGCTGTTAGAGTGTAAAATGACACATAAGGACGTGATTACATATGTATTTTTTTTTTTTTTAGTGTATAATAATCATGGTATAATCCAAATTACCTATAAAATAAATTAACAAATTAAGATAAATAAAATATCACTTTTGGAAACTTTGATACTATTTTTTAGTTTAAATAGTTTTAGTTCAATTAATGCATTAATTTACTATATACTCCGTAATAAATATATTTTTAAAGTAATAAATATATTTTTGAGTAAATAAATCTGTAATACCTTACATATTTCAAGCATCTCTCCCAATATAAATTTCATTTTCCCTTTTTTGCATATAATTTGTGTTTCACAGTATTTTCGTTCCCTCCGTTTTCTTTTTCTACACAAGTTAGGACTATACAATTCTCACTTTCTTAATTTCCTTGCAAATTCAAAAGTCAAAAGAAGAATACAATTTATTATTCCCTCTGTCCCATTTAAATCTCTACACTTTCCGTTTTGGCAACTCCTTGTACATTAATTACTTTAATTACCCTTCACCACCCACCGATTTTTTTACATTCAATTAGATAACATTAATTAATCCCATGGATCAAAGGGTATGAAAAAAATTTGTTGTTTGTATTGTTCTTATATTAATTGGATTCCTAAAATATTTTGCCAAAAGTAAACGTCAAGATTTAACCGGGAGGAAATATGATACAGAGAGTACTAGATTTTACCACGTAAAAAAATAACTTCGAATGTTTGGTTAGAGTCATCCTAAGTAACAATTCCTTTATTCTTAATTGATTCATTGACTTTTATATTCAGCACTTTTGACCACTAACATTTTAAATCTGCAGTGAAGAACACTTTTTGAAATTTTATACTACAAAATACGTAGTATTTGATTAACAACGGTCAGGGGTGGACTGTAGTACAGATCCGGGGCTACCCCCAACAAGAATTTTTTTTAATGTATATATGTGAAAAATAATTTTCTCCCTCCGAGAAAATATTTTGAACCTCCAAAAAAATATTTTCGTCCCTCATGATTTTCTTGGGTCCGCTCCTGACAACAGTTCACTTATAAGTAGTATAAATTTTTAATGCGTTACGTTAATAAATAGAATGCGATCAGATTAAAGGAAATAAGGTTGTAAATAGTGGAGACGCCAAGTTGTGGCAACTAATAAGGTAGGGTAGTACTGTAATATAAGAGAAGAATTGAAATAATAATAAAGTTCATGAATATGATTATCATTTTTCTATTCTCGGATCAGATATGACTTATTCATTCCTATTTTGGGAAATTTTACTCAACTTATTAAATTCATTCATATTTTGGGAAATTTTACACAATTTATTCTTTAATAAGATTAAATGAATCCTATTTGTAGAATAAAACACATTTAGTTTTTTTTATACTTTGGATGTATTTTGATTGTATATTTAGCAATTTCTAGATATATAATATAATTGACAATTTGGATCCAATACTGAGTATTATTATATATGCATGTGAAGGAACCGTGAAGGAACAGATAAAGTTAATTATAAGTGGTGAGAATTGGATGAGAATCGAATGGACGCCGGAAGGGGAAACGGAACCCTTTGTAAAAACTCTACGCAATCTTCTATCGGAAAATCATGACAAAGACGAAATTACAGCAATGTTTGTAAACGGCGTTCTCGGAATCATTCAGCCACCGCTGAAGACTCATGCAACTCTACAACATGAAATACCATCGGCTGCAATTGTACAAAATCCGCCACAACCAGACACCAGACAGGTAACTATTAGTTACTGTCGCCTTACTAGATTCAAAATACTTTCGTATTAAAAGTAGAGTTGCACTTGTGGTACACACTTGTTGGCTTACACACTTTAAACATTGTCTGTGTAGATTTTTTTTATCTGTACAGACAAAAAGTCTACACAACCGGTGTATAAAAGTGTGGCTCATCAATCAGGAATATGTTGAAGGCCAACAAAATTGTTGATCATGTGATATTTTTGTCTTTTCATACGGGGTTGGGTGCAAAAACAAAGTTTTTTTTAAAAACATGGTGGAAAGTCCAATTTAGACAATAAAATGGAGTGCAACCTCAAATTATCCCTTAATTTAATAACAAATTTGATCTAGAGTACCGTTGACATACCTTAACTACCTTGTCTATATGGACTAATCCGGCCATTGACTTTCCACAGAGCACTGATAAAAGTGATCAAAATGATGAAACTGCTAGAAGAAGAGCTGAGGAAGAACGTGATGGCGGCGGCGGCCTTGAAGCCGGAAGCAAGAAAAGCAAAAGTATGGGTAAAGAAGAAGAAAGCCGTACAGGCGGAATTCCAGCGGCGGCGGCGACCATGACCGAAGCAGCCGGTTATTATGAAGTGGCAAAAAAACTGATAAGGACTCATCAACGGAAAATATTGAATGTGGCTGTGGGTTTGGCGATACTAGGCATTAGCATGTATGTTATACCCGGCCACCGCTGCCGCCGCCGTGATTATTGATTAATACTCCGTATCTGAGGAAGCTAATTAATTATGATTTACGTTAAAATTAAAGCATACGTATAAATTGTAAGCGAATAAATTTAGCAAGCGAGCTGTATATATTCACGCATGCGAATAATAGAGATGATCGGTAATGAATTGCAATTTGTTTATTTATTTATGACCACATTATCAATCTCATATTTTCCTTCTAAATTAGTAATATCATTTCCGCATGAATTAATAGAGATAATTCCCTAACTAGGACTAAAACAAGTTTAAAATGCAACATTAGAGCATCTCTAATGCTACACTGTGCACGCACGGTGCACATGTGATATGTGAAATAATTAACCACATAAATATTAGTAAATTAATTATCTATCTTCTTATTTAAATGGTTTTATGAAATTTTGGTAGGTTTTTATCTACAATGTCAAGGAGACCGTCAAGATTTAGACATTGTAGTTGACATTGTTAAAAAAATTACCAAAATTGAATAAAATCATTCAAATAAGGAGTAAGATAATTTATTTATCAATCTTTATGTGGTCATCTTTCATGCCACATGTGGACTCTGCACATTTTAGCATTGGAGATGCTCTTAGGATCACTACGTTTAATAGGAGTAAAAAGAGCTAGATGGGTGGACAAATCTGCCCTTAATGAAATTTCCATATCCGGCGCCCTCATCTTTATTAATATCTAGAGTAATTTCCCTAAATGGGACTAAAACAATGGAAAAACGAAAAACTAGGACTATCATGTTTTTAGGACCTTTTAGGACTAAAATATAGTAGTTTGACGAAATTAACCCTCAATATAAAACTCTTGATTTCTTTATGGAGCCGCTGAATCCTCCAGACAGTCTCACACCGACAACTTTTTAACAAGGTTCATAACTATTTTCCATGCATATGAACACATTTCTAAGCTAGATTCGTTGATCTCTTCACAATTTGGATCATGTCTCATATTTATTGAGCCACAACATGTAATAATAGACTCAAAATAAATAAATTAATAGGACCGGTCAACTGTTTCCAAAATTAAAGTAATTGGATATTTTGAAATGATCCAAATTAATTTAATCAGTAAATGTCATCTCAAGGATTCCTTGTCACTATATTCCTTTTAATAAGGTCCAACAATCATCATGAGCGGCCCAGTAGATTTCAACATCGGCCCAATAGCATTTAAATGGACTCAATATAATTTAGTGTAGTCGGGTAGATTTTAAAGAGGCATAATAATATTTAGGACCATCATAAGATAATAAGTCCAAAATATCAAATAACTTTTAGTATCTATAGCCACGAATATTGTTACGACTCGTTATGATGCTCTGGAGGACTATCTTCTTTGGAAAACCCCGTTTGAATCCATTCTAGTGTCCCACAGTCTTTTTGGAATTCTGGATGGATCCATTCCGATTCCTTCTCGTAGGCATGAGTTCCCGAAACCGGAGTACCATCATTGGTTTAAAATTGATCAGACTGTGCGCTCTTGGTTTTTTGCTACTCTCTCGGGATATTTTAATCAAAGTTTATGACCTTAAATTTTCCTCACTCAATTTAGGAACGTCTTTAGACACGATTTAAGTCTGCTAGTCTTGCCCGATCCATGGAGCTTAAGCGTTTATTATCTCATATTAAAAAGAAAGAATTGAGTCTCAGTGTATGGATCAATATTATATTTGAGGGTAATTAAGGTTATGGTGGATGCCTTAGCCGCCATTCAATCTCCTGTTACTAATCGAGAACTCATTGAATATGCTATTTCGGGTTTGGGTATTGAGTATGAATCTCTCATCACGACGATCTCATATTTCTTGGGCAATGCTAGACTGGACACACTTCGACCAATATATCCTACTGGCTCAGGAGCAAAGGAATATTTTTTGAGGTCTCAAGAACCTCCTCCGATGCACCAAGCCTTCACCGCTGCTGGTTCCAGCGCTTCGTCCTCTTCTGGCCGCGGCGTTTTCAGTATTTGTGGAGGAGGGCCGGCCCGTGGGTCTGGGGGCCGTGGCTACATAACCTACATTGGCAGCAGGCCACGCGGACACCAGGGCAGGGGTCGTGGTCAGTATCGATCAGTAGCCTGTCGAACCACATTATGGGGGATCTGCCTAATGGTCCCAACTTCGGTCAATCTCCTCACTTGCAGTAGTCGCGTGGGACACAAATAGGGCAGCCGGATCTAGTATCTAGTAATTTCAGTTTTGATTATTTTATTATAAATTATTTGCCTGTTGTGGTACTTATAATGTAAATGCAGGTTTTTCATATGTAGACCATACATATATAAGTCTCCTCCACCTCCCGTGGTTTGTCAACTTTGCTTTCCCTTTTAATAATGAAAGAATGACACAAATATTACTCTCACACTTTGGATGGACAAAAATATGACCATAGTAAAATGAGACAAAAAAGTGATTAAATTAAAAAATGAGCATTCAAAATAACAGCTTCGAATCAATTGATCTTTGTCAAACTAACATCCTTGAACCCATTCAAAATAACAGGCTGTAACCCATTTGTCCGTTTCACCATTCCTCAAAATTCATTGACCTCCACAGCCAAGGCTTCAACGCCGCCCAATCCAAGCCACCACCGCCTCTGACCCCGAGACTCCATCGTCGTCCAATCCACATTGCTGCCGCCCTAACTTTGTTGTCAGCCTTCCACAGCGCCGTTCACTACTTCATCACAGCCAATTCCCCACACCGTTGTTGTATTCGTCACTGCGAAGCCGCGCTGCCGCCACCGTCTTCGTTGCAACCAACCCACACCATCTCATCTAGGATTGTACTCTTCTTCTTCACCTTTCTTTAGATGAAGACGTTGGCGACGACTGGCAGAACAGAACGGGACAGTTCGGGACATCCCAAAAAAATTGCAGCAAAAAAAAAATAGCTCCAAAATAAACTTCATGACAAAAAACTACAACACTCAAAACGCAACATATAATTTTTTTTAAGATGAATGCAACACAAAAAATAGTAGATTAATAGGATAGTTGCACGAAACAAATTGTAACAACAATAATAACTCCAACACAAACAATACTACTAAGAAACTGCAAAGATAAAAAAGACAAACAATATTATTAGAAGTGAAACATGTGGAGTATACGTGAGTTTCCTTTTAGTATGTAGAAGATAGTTCATATACTTGATAGTTTAGTCTCCTTTAGGTGTTTTACATATTAGATAACTAATATCTAATTAATATTCATCAGTATTTGAATTGATGATAGACTCACTAACCCACAACTATATACAATTTTGAATTCGGGACAACGGGACGGAACGAGACATATTTTATTTGTCTCGGTCCCGTTTTGTTTTGAAACGGTTCGGGACCGGAACGGGACAACAATAATTTCTCCCGAATTAAACGAGACAATTTCGGAACGGAACCGGAACATTCCGGAACGGACCAACGGGACCGGGTCTTTTGTCCACCCCTATCCAAAACTCTAGATATTTCCCCGCAAATTGGCATCCCATGTTTACGTTTCCCATATTTTGGTAAAAGACCCCAAAAAACATAAGATGGAAATAAGATGTTCCGTTAGAAGAAGAAACCCCTAAGCTTCTGATTGCTTCAAATCATTCCTTTTCAAATCCAAACATAGGTTTGCTGCTAAGTCAATAAGTAAGTTGAAAAATTTAAGGATGAAGCCAGGCTTTATTCTGCCTTCATCAAACCTAGCTTGTGGATTAAAATGCAACATTAGAGCATCTCTAATGCTACACTGTGTACGCACGGTGCACATGTGATATGTGAAATAATTAACCACATAAATATTAGTAAATTAATTATCTATCTTCTTATTTAAATGATTTTATGAAATTTTGGTAGGTTTTTATCTACAATGTCAAGGAGACCGTCAAGATTTAGACATTGTAGTTGACATTGTTAAAAAATTACCAAAATTGAATAAAATCATTCAAATAAGGAGAAAGATAATCTATTTATCAATCTTTATGTGGGCATCTTTCATGCCACATATGGACTCTGCACATTTTAGCATTAGAGATGCTCTTAGGACCACTACGTTTAATATCTAGAGTAATTTCCCTAAATGGGACTAAAACAATGGAAAAATGAAAAACTAGGACTATCATGCTTTTAGGACCTTTTAGGACTAAAATATAGTAGCTTGACGAAATTAACCCTCAATATAAAACTCCCGATTTCTTTATGGAGCCGCTGAATCCTCCGGACAGTCTCACGTCGACAACTTTTTAACAAGGTTCATAACTATTTTCCATGCATATGATCGAACACATTTCTAAGCTAGATTCGTTGATCTCTTCACAATTTGGATCATGTCTCATATTTATTGAGCCACTACATTTAATAATGGACTCAAAATAAATAAATTAATAGGACCGGTCAATTGTTTCCAAAATTAAATTAATTGTATATTTTGAAATGATCCAAATTAATTTAATCACTAAATGTCATCTCAAGGATTCCATGCCACTATCTTCCTTTTAATAAGGTCCAACAATCATCATGAGCGGCCCAGTAGATTTCAACGTTGGCCCAATAACATTTAAATGGACTCAATATAATTTAGTGTAGTCGGGTAGATTTTAAAGAGGCATAATAATATTTAGGACCATCATAAGATAATAAGTCCAAAATATCAAATAACTTTTAGTTGTTATAAGTCAACCATCAAAAGCTATCATTCATTCACATGTAGCCACATATATATACAAGGGAGGGGGAGCTAGGGTTACAATCATGATATGGGCCATTGCATATGGGCCTATGATTAATGGACATCTACTAGACCTGCACAAACACGGGCTCGGGCCAGGCTCGGGCCGGGCTTATTCTAAAAAATCTGCCCACTTGTAGTGGGCGGGCCCGGCCCGGCCTGGTAAAACGGGCCTCCTCATATGTCCAAGCCCGCCCATGAGAGCGGGCCGGGTTGCCCACCGGGCTTTTGGGCCCGGAAAATATCCTTTTGTCAACTTTGTTAAAAAATGAAAATATTTATAAAATAACATCACAACATTTTAAATGCAATTAAATAATTAATGTACTCACAACACATTTTGAACACAAGAATACGTTTAAATGCGAAACACAAAACGATTCTGGAAAATAAAAAGCATCCAAATTCCAAATAAGCATTCATATTCCATAAT